CTTGTCCAGAGCTACATCTTGAGGGGGCGTGTTAGAGATATGACTACGATTCTCTCATCAATGTGATTGCCTCATATTAGGAAGCTTCTGTATTTACATTATTCTAGAGTATTCTCTCCTCTTGTATAAATAACCATGTATATTGATTCTTGAATATATAGAAAACACATTCTTACAGCTTCGATCCCGGATCTTGAAGAGGAGGCTGGGGGAGGCCTAACGATCCGTGAATTTTGCTCAAAATTAACATCCGTATGTCTCGAAAGATATAACCAATGCAAGGCAAGAAGCTCATTTTTTTTGCTTATGAAGTGTAAGATTACAAGCTATACATCGATATATCTAAAATTGTTTGTCTTATGTTATTTCCAGGGATTGAATGTAAGATTTGAGCATATCTTAAGGGCGAATTTCAACCCAGGGTCGATGGCAAAGTTTTACATCACATTTGTTGCAAGAGAGTATGAGTTTCCGGATGCACCTCTAGTGGAGTATCTAGCTGAAGTGGCATGGTCTGTATCGGACAAGATTTATCCCATCTTGTGTAGACCAAGTCCGCCACCAAAATTACTATAGTTTTACCTCTCCAATTGTTGTCTATTTCTTCCGAATCCTAACTTTCTCCTTCTCATGTACACACTGGAAGATATACTTTTACTTATTATATGTATTTTTCGACATGGTTTCTTACTAGTGAAACTTCATTATGTAGCTCAAGGGTGAGGAATGAAACAATATGAGTTTTAGACTTGATTGTATTGGCTAACAAGTTTTGCATCCATTTGCGGCTACGGATTCCAATGTCCCTTCATGCTGCCTTTGCTGTCTTTTGGCAGAGAAACCATTTTTTCTGCGTTGCGATTTTAGCTCATAGTTATGGTGACTTTGTCTTCAAAAGCTCCACCACCATCAACTAAAGCTCGACTTGGAAAATTGGATGACTTGTTCCACTAACAATTTTTGGAGATAATTAAAAAGATCTTTTTTTTTTCCGTCTAAAACTTTTATTAATTTCAAGTGTCAACATCATTAATTTCCACTAACAATTATCTCCCACATAATTTGGAGATATCATGAGGGAGATAATTAAAAGATCTTCACATATTATTTTCCTAATAAAAAGATATATATATATAAGAACAATTTTAAATAGGATGTATTACGGTATTAGTAAAAAATATATATTAAAAGGCTATAAATATTTCTTAAAAACCAAAGAAATATATATTGCCAAAAAAAGATCAAAGTGATATATGGATTTAAAATTTAAAATGTAAAACAATAATATTCTGTTGTCAAAATTTCAATTTTATTTACATGTGTTAATAGTACCTTCTAATGCATGGGCAAATCTTTCAAGATTTTTTCCTGGTCAAACTACACTGCACTATAAAAAGGCATGAAGAATAGCTTATGTTCATCATTAAAAATCGAAAAAAAATTTTCTTTGGAGAATGAAGAACAAATCCTTTCAACTTTTGTCATTGGTTTCTCTTCTTGTTCTTGTATTTCGTAAGTAAATTTACTTTACTTTCCAATCTATAGTTTTTGTTTTCTGTCAACACTCTTCATTTTGTAGTTTCATACATGCAATCATATCCGTATAGTATTTATAAAAATAAGGGAATGAAAATTTATGTAAACAAAATACATGTGTCAAATAATATGGGAAGGAGATTTTCTTACGAGAAAAGAGAATTAACATTGAAAAATAGGAACATGATATAAAAAAAATAAAATCATGTACATATTTGTTTTCTTAAAGTACTTTTTTATTTCAATATAGAGAGTAAGAAACCAACTGAGATTTGAAATCTTGCTTCAAATCGAACTTCTTTTTTTTTTTATCATGAGGAAGAGCATGATATCTTTAGTATAAATTGGAAAAACATTTTTATAGCGTGGAGAATGAGCGTACGAAATATGTGAATGATCCTATATACTGATGGAAATTTAATCTTATTTTGATTTGTTTTATGACAATTGGACTAACATATCATCACATTTGAAGGACAAGATTTTGTGGTAGGGAGGACAATGGATACAAAGAGCATCGACGCGAGCTATTACGAAAAACCTTGTAATCCAAGCTGGGATCCAAATTGTGTAAAGCCTTGTAATCCAGAGAATCCAAACTGCCTAAAGAAACAAGGACCACCCATGGATACAAATAGAGCTGAAATGAATTATTACGAAAACTCTTGTAGTCCAAAAGATCCATATTGTGTACACCCTTGTGCTCAAGGGACTCCACATTGCGGTGGTGGGCCTGATGCAGATAGCCATGGAAACTAAAATTATAAAATATGTTCTTGAAAGAAAAAGCAGAAATGGTGGCGATGGAGATTAAAATTATAAAATATTTACTTGATAAAAAAAAAAAAAATTATACATCCTTACAGAGACATCCATATATTTGATATTTATAGAAAACTGTTGAATATTATAAAATTACACGGTTGATTTTGGAAAACCATTCTACTTCTTTGTTTTTCCTTTTAATTTCACACATTCTACTCACAAGTCAAGTGTTACGTATATTTCTTTGGTATCTGTGTCGTGAAATCCAAATTCATGAATATATAAATGCTAAATCCAACATATGTTGAATGTTCACACTCACTTTAGTTGAGGACGTACACGATCATGTAAATAATTATCGCCAAACATATTGGTTTCTTGCACAATACAATACGTTTTTTTGGTAAAACTTACTATTAAATATCGGGTTAATTAGTTTAAAATTCCTACTGGGACTTATAATTAAAAAAGTAACATAACCAAATATATAATTGGAGCAATTATAAAAATACCACTTTTTGTGTGCACATTTGCAAGAATGCCACTTAGAGGTGTCTATTTGCAAAAATGTCACTAATTATAGATTTATAAAGTCTATATCTTAAAATTCTAAATCCTAAAAAATGTTTTGATCTCTAAAACCCCATAAACTCTCATAACTAAACTCTAATAGAACATAATTAATTTTTTTTTTTTTTTTGGTCGAAAAAGCTAAACAAATATCTATGTTGACAAAATTGGCACTACGTTATACATTAATTGTTCTAAGTCTAAATCTAGTGGAGAATCAGATTATCTTTTGGATAATATTACTATTGAATTTAATAGATAAGATAGTAGGTTAATAGGTGGATAA